ACTGGATAGACTTGAATACCTTTCGGAAAACGATTAGCAAATTGATAATTGAAATCATATGCTTCTGCATTAAATAAATATTGAACAGCCGTGTTATTGCGGATCAGTTTTGTCCACATACTATGACCTGCAAAAAAGAACATACTAAATGATTGACAGTAGAGGAAAAGTGAATGTACCTTGTAAATGAGTGTGCGGCAAGGCGGATAACACTGTGATGCCTGTTTCAGGAAAACTCTAGAATAAAGATGGTTTCGGCTAAATTTGAGAATTTGATTAACATACACGCGTTGCTGTGCTTGGACAATAGGAATCGACTACGAATTGATCAACTCGTGGTGGTATGACGAGACTCAGAAAGGATATATCTGTACCAAAAACTAGATAGCCAAGATCATGTTGACGAAGTTCATTGCTTAAATAAAATCGAAGGCCTGAACTGTCACGACGATCTAAAAGTGAATCGAGAAAATTGCATTTTTATCTGTTACACACCAACAATATTTTACTTGAGCTTTGCTTTGGGTTGTCATAGTGCATTTGAATCATGTAATATTTGACGGACGAATCACCACCAATGGGATAGCCGGCTACGTCAGAAAACTCGAATATCTATCAAAATTTGTCCTGTCTTTTACTAATTTCTACTCTAAACGTAAACCTTACCCGATCACCACCAATAGTCCATCCAATGGCAATCTTCGTTGTGCATGCAGTGATCTTATCAGTAATATCATTGCACGGCCCATCCGGCAAATCACTATCATTGTCGAAAGTAGCTGAAGGATCACATTCGTGTAGGAGCAAATGGTGAATAAGATCTTCATTGCCAGAATCGATTAGTGTTTTGTGCTTTACAGAAAATATTTACTTAAAATCTCCGTTATTTTGTAATACATACCGCGATAACATGCCGTTTAGTTGTATACTTACTCGGTAATTTATATACTTTGCAATGATAGGTGGTGTCAGTCGATGGTATAAGATACTGAAATTGAAAGGCAATGATGAATTCGGAGAAAAAACTTCACTCACATTGTTTGGATGAAAGTCGAAATAATCCAGCTCAGCAAATTTCTCATCCGGCGGCGGTTGTCCGTAGAACTGAAGTGGAATCATCTTTGTACCGCGGCGATTTGCATGATATGATATATCATCATGTGATCCAGACAGATCAGGATCGACAAGACCATATGCAAATATCACAACGTTAGTTCCACTCTGTAAAGTAAACATACTTGCATTAGTAGGTTCTAAATTTTAATGTAATTTACAGAGATACACCGGACATGGGAAACTCGCGGGCGGGCAGTGTCACTTTTTAAGGAGTCCACGGGACAGAAAATTTTCAATGTTGTCTTTATATGTTCAACATATGATGAATATGTTATCAATCAAAGACGGTCAAATCTCAACCCATCAGTCGTCAATGATATAACTATGGTTCTTTATAATACAACGGGACTAAAATTTCACGGACGAGAACGGGGTGGGGAACAAGAAAAATATGGCCCGTGCATATCTGATGTGAGTCTTCTCTAATATGAGACCTTAATCGGGTAGTCCATTGAATCACAAGTGTCGAGTAAACGTTTGAATTGAATGGCTGTCCATCCATTTTCCTCTCGACCTTGGAGAGCGAACCAGTCAGCGGTTGTATTGTCAATGAGAGGTTTCACAAAACCAAAAGCATATCGATCCTAAAAATAATGAAATTCACTGTTGGTGATATACATCTAGTAATTTCGTACTTGAAAATGAACAGTACCCTTCTGATCAACCCATCCGACACCGATATCGGCACCTTTCATGCCCCCAGCTATATAATAAGAGCATAATAATAGAGAAATTAAGAGCGAGCTTCGTTAAACTTTACCTGGGCTAATGCCCAAAGCGATCCATCCTGTAGTTTTGATATGTAGCTCGAAGGTAATCTCTCGTTCAGCATCGTCCACTGTCCACCACAAATTAGCGACATTTGATTCAAGTTCGATTGAATATTGATAGTTAGTGAAAGGCCGAATAGAACTAGAAAGTCCGTTACATATATTGGCAGTCAGTAAATAGGAAAAAATTTGAAAAGTAATGTACGACCACATTGTTCGACTCTAAAAGAGAAATAATCTAAGCAATGAAATATTATAAATCGTCATTGTTCGAGAGTATGTAAGTGAAAAACAACTTGTAAGCAAGGAGAACCATGATGATATTTACTTGAAGATAAGACAGTGCACGTGGACACTTTTTATTTTACCTATCTGACGCAAAAATGACATATTCAAACAAAAAGTATTATCAATGCATTATATAAAAGAATTTTCTTTTTTTCAAGACCGTTAGTTGAGCGCGTCATCATGCGGCACAATAAAATAGCATTCAAGAATACTATGTTTCGCAGTTAGTGTGACGATTTTTGATAGAAGAATGGTTGACACTGACGAAACTATAGACTTATATATTCGCCCGTAAAAAGGAGAAAACGAGAGCAATACGGTAAAAACAAAGTATAACATAATATATGAAATCTGGGCAGAAAGATAAGGATAGAATCCATTTACTCGAGTGCGTTGTATTTAGTCTTTATTTATTAATGTCTTATCAATTTCTTTCATTACTTTTGTTAGTTTGATGACCATAAATCACTCTCTAATATAATTTATTGCTATCATGATTGTATTTCTATGATTCTCTATCCATGTAAAATAAAAAACGTAAAAAATCTGATTTTCATCGATTTTTCAATGATGAAAAATTCATTTTAATCAGGATAATCAATATTCTTGCATAAGTGAGTGAATATCGCGCTATATCGTACCTGGAAATTTATAAGAGGGTGTGGGTGTTCAAAAAAAATAAACCTACATTCACACCCGCACCTTCAAAATCAGTTATAATTTCTTTTTTACAATTTCAATACTCTTTCGAACACTTTCGAGATCAGGATGATTAGGAGGTAGTGAACGTTTTCGAATGTCTAAAGCACGTTCGAAAAACGAAAGTGCTTTCGAATAATCATTTATATATTTATAAGCCCAGCCAATGTTGCTGTACAATGTGGCTAAACTTGGATGACCTGCTGGAAGAACTTTTTGTTTGATTTCCAATGCTTTTTCGTAATAGAAAAGTGCTTTCAAGTACTCGCCCATATTGTCATACACTCCTCCAATGTTGTTGTAAGAAGTAGCTAAAAGAGGATCATTTTCAGGAAGCGTTTTTTGACGGATTTCAAGTGCTTTCTCATAAGATGAAAGTGCTTTGGAATTTTCATTCATTTTCCAATACATGGAACCAATATTGTTGTAAGAAGTAGCCACATCAGAATGAGTGGAAGGGAGAATCTTCTGAAGGATTTCGTTTGATTTTTCATAAAATGTAAGTGCTTCTGCATTTTCTTCTTGATTATCCTTGACCAATCCTAACATATGATAAATGTTTGCTTTATCACGCTCATTAGTTGTCTGATCAAGCATGATTTCGAATATCTGTTGTGCCTTGTTAAACTGTCCAGTTTTAATCAATAAATTACCCAAGCGGTACCATCCTGTTAGATGAGGAAATATCTCTTCACGTATACGTTCAGTTAAACTTCGAAGTTGCGGATCGTTATCACTCGTTAATGTTAAATCCACTTGCCAGAGGCGATTGTTCTCATCCATTTGTTCAAGTTGCCTGATACGAAAGACCGAGTGCATCGAGAAGAGAATTTCTTCTTCTCCTTCGAAATAGCTAACATCGCGAACATTGGCGAATGGTGTTGAAGGAACAGAAGGATCGATGTTCATGACGAATAGGATACCCACCATATCAGATGTTTCCATAGTTTGTTGAGCAAAGCTAAGAGATACTTGACGATTAGTGCTGGTGGATAAGAAATTGTTAAACGATAGTAGACCACCTTTTGTTTTCAACATTTGATTAAAGTCTTTTTGAGACAAACCTTGACCACGATACACGGAAAACGAAGTAGTATGATCATGTCCAGCGAATTGTGTCGAATGAAGTTCGACGAGATGCTGATGTAAATCGTGAATAAAAAAGCCCATGCTTACAATAAGCTCCACATCCATTGTACGTAAAGAACGGTTAAGCGTACTGTAAAGAAACGACTGATAAGTATACCACCAGATAGGAGTATGTAGACGATATTCACGCTCGATTTTGTCGACATTTTTCAATTCGAGATTATTGTCGACAAAGTGTTCGCGAAAGTATCGAATAAAGTCATTAATATGTACCGGTTCGAAGTCGATTGTTAAAAGTATTTCCTTCAGTATCTGAGTATACATGAAGGATTGATCTAATTGATCAAGATTTTCACTTGTGTTCCCACCACTCGCTGGGACAAAGCTCATTGAAATAGTATTTTGATCGCAATCATGGCTGGTCTTTTTCAGTGCTTGATAAATCGATTTAATTTCAGTGTAGACACCTTTTACTTTAGGCCACTCTGAAGTCCATTGTTCATATCGTTTCTTATTTTCACAAAGAATAAAAATAGTGCTTACTTGTGGCTTGTCGTGTATAACGGGCACTGTTGTTTGTCCATATGCATCCGAAAAGATAATGAATACTTTTTCTTCTTGAATACCATTAATGAAGTTGACACATTCATCTACATTTGTGAATGTATAAATCGTATTTACCACTTCGCGTAGCTGTGAAATGATGTTTTGACACTCCTCGGTGTCTGTGTTGATGTTGGCGTCCAGCCAAATCAATATAAAGTTTTGAATCCGACGCACATGAGCTGGTCTTTGTAATCTTACGCTCGTACATTCTGATGTCGCAGTAGCAGTTGTTGTTGGTGGATATTTTTTCTCACTCATATTAAATGTGAATGAAACGAACAAAATAAATGATAATAAGAAAGCGAGAAAAACGCTTCAGTTTATATAATGTATGATTTTTTTTCTAAAATTTTCTCGTTCTACTCC